TCATAATACTGTGTTCTTTTTCTTTGAAGGACCGTTATATATGTGTGTGCGTATACCTATGTGTGTGTATATGTGTGTGTGTGCATATATATATATATTCATGTACTTATGTGTTTAATGTCTAAACTATAAGCTGTCTGAGAGCAGGAACTGTAGCTCTTTGGGTTATTTCTTTTACTACTTTTCTCCTAGTGCTTAGAACATATTGCTTGAATGAAAATTCAGCTGTTCTTTTTTTTTTTTTTTTAAGATTTTATTTATTTATTTATTTGAGACAGAGAGAATGAGAGACAGAGAGCATGAGAGGGAGGAGGGTCAGAGGGAGAAGCAGACTCCCTGCCGAGCAGGGAGCCCGATGCGGGACTCGATCCCGGGACTCCAGGATCATGACCTGAGCCGAAGGCAGTCGCTTACCCAATTGAGCCACCCAGGTGCCCGAAAATTCAGCTGTTCTAAACTGGAGAAAGGGAGATGCAGAATAGTATGTACAGGGGTGCCTGGGTGCCTCAGTCAGTTGAGCACTGGACTCTTGTTTTTGGGGCAGGTCACAATCTCAGGGTCCTGGGATCAAGCCCTGTGTTGGGCTCCATGCTCAGCGGGAGTCTGCTTGAGGTTCTCTACCTCCCCTCTGCCCCTCCCCCACTAAAATAAATAAGTCTTTAAAAAAAAGGGTAGTATAAAAAAAAAAAGACTAGAATGTATAGTATTATCCCATATTTTTATTTTAAAGATTTTATTTATTTGACAGAGAGAGAGACAGCGAGAGAGGGAACACAGACAGGGGGAGTGGGAGAGGGAGAAGCAGGCTTCCCACTGAGCAGAGAGCCCGATGTGGGGCTCGATCCCAGGACCCTGGGACCACGACCTGAGCTAAAGGCAGACGCCTAATGACTGAGCCACCCAGGCGCCCCCATATTTGCTTTTTTTAAAAAATTTGTGTATTTTAGATGTTAATCCCTTATCAGATATAGGATTCGTGAATATTTTCTTTCATTCCATGGATTGCCATTTCACTCTGTTGATGGTTTCCTTTGATACACAGACTTTGTTAAAGTTGAGGTTGTTTACTTTTTCTATTGTTGCCTATGCTTTTATTCCAAGAAATCATTGCCAAAGTCAATGTCATGAAGCTTGGTCTCTATTTTCTTCTAAGAGTTTTATAGTTTTAGTTCTTACACTTAGGTCTTTAATCCGTTTTGACTTAATTTTGCACATGGTGTTAGGTAAGGATCCAACTTCATTTTTTTTGCATCTGGATATCCAGTTTTTCCAGCATCACTTGTTGAAAAGACTGTCCTTTACCTGTTAGATGGTCTTGGCATCTTTGTTGAGAAGCCTTTGACTATATATGTGAGGGCTTATTTCTGGGCTCTGTTCCATTCCATTGATCTATATGCCTGTCTTTACGCCAATATCACACTGTTTTGTTGTGTTTTTTTTAATTGTGGCAAAATATACATAACATAATTTATCATTTTAACCATTTTAAAATATACAATTCAGTGCATTAAGAACATTCACACTGTTGTGCAGCCGTCACCACCATCCCTTTTTCTTTTTATAACTGCATAGTATTCCATACAGGAATACATTGTCATTTCTTTTTTTTTTTTTTTTTTTAAGATTTTATTTATTTGACAGAGAGAGAGATAGCGAGAGCAGGAACACAAGCAGGGGGAGTGGGAGAGGGAGAAGCAGGCTTCCTGCCGAGCAGGGAGTCTGATGTGGGACTCGATCCCAGGACCCTGGGATCATGACCTGAGCCAAAGGCAGACACTTAACAACTGAGCCACCCAGGCGCCCTACATTGTCATTTCTTTATCAGTCCTCTGCTAATGGACATTCAGCTTATTTTCAGTCTTTTGTCATTACAATTAATGCTATGACAAATAATCTAACATAAAAGCCATTTTTGCTTGTGTGAATATATCTATAGGACAAATTCTGAAACAAAATTGATGAATCACAACATTTGTGCTTTTGTGATTTTTGTAAAATTGACAAAATGCCTTCCATAGATGTTTTATTAATTTACCCTCAGTATATTAGCTTTTTTTTTTTTTAGATTTTATTTATTTGTCAGATAGAGAGCACAAGCAGGGAGAGTGGCAGGCAGAGGGAGAAGCAGGCTCCCTGCTGAGCAAGGAGCCTGATGCAGGACTTGATCCCAGGACCCTGGGATCATGACCAAAGCTGAAGGCAGATGCTTAACCAACTGAGCCACCCAGGTATCTCAGTATATTAGCTTTAAAAAAAAAATCTTTTCCTACTTCATAGGTAAAGAATTTTAGTGTTGTTTGAATTTTCATTTTGAAATTGAACATCTTTTTTGTTTAAGAGCCATTTGATATCCTTTTTGTGAACTGTATGTTTGTATCTGGGCCAATTTTTTACTAAGTTGTTTGTGGTTTTCTTATTGCTTTATAAGAGTTCTTTTTAATTTAGGAAAATTAGCCTTTGGTCTGTAATATACGTTGCAAGGTATCTTTCCAGCTTGTCACTTGCCCATTATCTTCCATAACCTATTTATGGTCAATGAAATACCAGAGATTTTTGGAAGTCTTTCACCCGGGGTGCCTGTGTGGCTCAGTCTTTAAGCGTCTGCCTTTGGTTCAGGTCATGATCCCGGGGTCCTGGGATCGAGCCCCACATCAGGCTCCCTGCTCGGCGGGAAGCCTGCTTCTCCCTCTTCCACTCCCCCTGCCTGTGTTCCCTCTCTCGCTGTGTCTCTCTCTGTCAAATAAATAAGTAAAAAATCTTAAAAAAAAAAAAAAAAGGACGTCTTTCACCCTACTTTATTAGAAAGCTCTGCTTAGTTGCAGAGTGATTCCCAGCCTGGTGAATGAGACGCTTATTAATATCTGATTGTTAAAATTTAAACAGTGACAGAACTGGAAGAGACCTTAGAAATCTTATCACATAGTGATTTAATTTCATAGATGAGGCCCAAGTAAATGGAGTCATATAACCCAGGTTACATAGCAGGTCAGCAGTGGTGGGACCCTTGTTGAGAAGCCTTTGACTATATTTGAAATATATATATGCCAGAACCAGGGCATTTTTCTGGCCTTCGTTTTGAATAAGGTTATTCTATTTAACACACACTAAGAAAGTTCTGAACTTATGAAGGTATTTTTGAATTGAAAGTTAGTTTTGGTAGAGGCATGGGCCCTTCCCCATTCTGCTTTTTTTTTTTTTTTAAGATTTTTATTTATTTATTTGAGGGAGAGAGAATGAGAGAGAGCACATGAGAGGGGGGAGGGTCAGAGGGAGAAGCAGACTCCCTGCCGAGCAGGGAGCCCGATGCGGGACTCGATCCGGGGACTCCAGGATCATGACCTGGGCCGAAGGCAGTCGCTTAACCAACTGAGCCACCCAGGCGCCCCCCATTCTGCTTTTTATCTTTTTCTTTCCCCAAATGTCTTGTGAATTCAGAACTTCTACCTTAAGATAGAGAACAAATGGCCCTCTTCTAGGGTAGGATTGGTGCTGAGTTGTAGGCATATAGGCTCAAGGAGAGTCATGGGGTGGGGATTCTCTGGGTGATGGCCCTTTCCTTGCTTGACTCAGAGGCACTGAGGAAGCCAGGTGAAGGTTATTCTGGGTGGTCTGGGGATTTGCTGCAGTCTAGACCTCCCAGCCCATCTTTAGCTTCAAATGGAGAAAACCTGATCCCCCCTGAAAACCTCTGGGACTTCAGTTGTTTCTCAGGGATCTTCTGATCCAAGTAATAAAAATGATAAAAGTAATAATAAAATTAAAATAATTAAATCATACATGCCGGGGCGCCTGGGTGGCTCAGTCGTTAAGTGTCTGCCTTCGGCTCAGGTCCTGATCCCAGGGTCCTGGGATTGAGCCCCGCATCGGGCTCCCTGCTCAGCTGGAAGCCTGCTTCTCCCTCTCCCACTCCCCCTGCTTATGTTCCCTCTCTCGCTGTCTCTCTCTCTGTCAAAAAATAAAATAAAATCTTTAAAAAAAAATAAATCATACATGCCTGTTTATCAGATCTAAGATGCCATCCACTGTAGCCTTGCCATTATTTTATGCGTCACTAAGAAAAAATGCTGCCAATTAAAAGGACCTATGCTTGCTTAGCACATAAACTTTTCTCATGTATCACCCTTATACATACCTAACACAGTAAAATAGTTTTTCTTTAAATACCAAATCATAGTGTAATTTCTTTAAAGACATTTTAAGTGGCATTTAAAACGTGCAATACCATCAAATACATTGAGCTAAAGTGACAATACCAACAACTTAGATTAAATTCACACATGACCAGGCAGTATGACTATCTCTCCATCATTTGGCAAGAATTAAAAGATTTCGGAGGCATTAGTGTGGGGGAAATGTGCATCCTCGGATCAATGCAATGTTGTTTTTTTTTTTAAGATTTTTTATTTATTTATTTATTAGAGAGCGAGCGAGAGAGAAACAGCATGAGAGAGGAGAGGGCCAGAGGGAGAAGCAGGCTCCCACCGAGCCGAGAGCCCGATGTGGGACTCGATCCTAGGACCCTGGGATCACGACCTGAGCCGAAGGCAGTCACTTAACCAACTGAGCCACCCAGGCGCCCTCAATGCAATGTTATATCCTTTGACTAATTCCAAAGCATTTTTACACATGTGATCTCAATCTTCACAGCAACCTGGAAAGTAGACATATAAAGCCATTTTCTAGATAAAGAAACTGAGACTTGCCAGAGATCATAGTTAATGAGTGATTAAAGTAGGACTTAAACCCCAGACTTTCTGCTCTACCTAGTTATTTCCCAGCATTTGACTTCCTCGCCTTGGACCTTTACAATAGACCAAATCAGATGACTGGAACAATGCCGGAAGTGAGAGCCACTCTGATTTTGTGTTTCTTCTGATAGAGTTGATTAAAGACACTTGCTGGCAGAAATATGTAGGCAGAAGTGGTTTTCTTAAAGGTTTAAAAAGTAAAAATATAAATTTAATTTGAGGACATTCTCTTTCTTCCCCTCTTCTCTGAAGGTACCAGAAAGCAGCTGAAGAAGCAAATATGGAAAAGAGGAGAAGTGTAAGTATTGAGAAGCCCCAGGGCCTGTGGAGCTTCCCAAGTGGAGCCTTTGTGGCCCAGCCACCTGCAGCCTCCATGGGGCTTGGGCTCCATGTCAGCTGAGCTGGGCATGGGTGTCAGCTGCTCTGATTTGTGCGCCATTTACTCAGGAGAATGTGGCTCGGGTGCAAGGAATCTTATTTTTCCACCGAAGTTTTCCTCTTGAACCCTTTCTTTCTTCCCTGAGTTGAGTGAAAGATAGAAGGCCAAGTGCTTTGCCTGAGGTTAGTAAAATGGCTTACTACTTCTGCTCACGTTAGAATACAGGGTCCCCTAGGCTTCAGCCCTTGTTCCAAACCAAACAACCAGAATTTCTATATTTCTGCATTTAAATGGTAGCAGCTGGGCAGCTGTTGTCATCCCCTGGGTTCTTTGTTTAAAGCACACTTCTTGACCCACTCTAGTTAGCAAATTTCTCAGCTGCAGGATCCGTCGAAGGCTAAAACCTTAGAACAAGCTCTCTGCTCGTAACCATTCTGTACTCTCCCCGCTGGCTAGCCTCCAGCTGGGCTGGAGAGTGTATTTCTTTTGAAATCTTACTTGATTTAATCTTATGAGGGAAAAAAACTCACATATTTGGGTAAGAATTATTTAGTTTGATTGGCATTGCAAAAATCTCCTCCTGGCAGTTTTTAGTACCCAACCTATTTAAATTAGGTACATAACACGCCCCTGTCAATTTGTTCTCTCTAAGGGGGTAATGCTGACCAGGTCTTTGGCTTAATTGTCCTGTAATTAAAAAATGGATCCCCTCTGGCACACTGTAAGCAAAAGCTACCATCATTTCACTCAAAGATTGGTTTCTTTTCTTTCCTCCTCCTCTCTCTCCTGCCTGTGATTTTTCCCCTGCCTCCTTTCTCCCTTCCTTCTTTCATTTATTCATTTAGCAAGTATTCACAGATCACCTGCAATGTGCCAAGCACTGTTTTAGGCACGAAAACAGACTACATTTTGGCCATCATGGAGTTTACATGATAGTGGGACAGATGAACAATAAAGAAATTGTGTCAGTGATTAGTGCTAAGAAACAACGTGAAGCAGGTAAGAGGGATAGAATGTAGGGTGGTCCAGAAAAGCCTCTGATGAGGGGACATTGGAGCAGAGATCTGAGGATATGAACCAGGGAGAAGAATGATTCAGGTGGAAGGAAGAGCATATGCAAATGCCCTGAGGCAGGTACATTCTTAATGTGTTTGAGGAGTAGGAAAAGCAAAGTCATAGAGGGCCACTATGAGGACCTGGGCTTTAACTCTGATCACATGGGCACCTTTGGAGGGTTTGTGTGCAAAGGAGTGATGTGATCTGACTTAAATTTTAAAAAGAGGAGGAAGAGACTATAGGGACAATGGCAGAAACATGGAGACAAATTACAAGACAATTTCAGCGTTTAGGCAAGAGATGATAATGGATTGGACTGGAGTAGTAGCTATATAGGTGATGAGAAGTGTTCAGGATTTATACTGAAAGTAGAGAAAGACAAGAACCATGAATGGCAACAGTGGTTTGTGCTCAAACACCTGGAAAAATGCCATTAATTGAAATGGAGAAGACTGTAGTAAAAGCAGGTTTAGAGAAGGGACATGGTAGCAGCTCAGTTTGGAGCATGTTAAATATGAAATGCCTTAAAGACATCCAAGTAGAGATGTTATATAAGAACTTGTACATATAAATCTGGAACTGGAAGAGATGCGGGCTAGTGATAAGATGTGTGTGTATCAAAGATCAGTGGTATTTAAAGACATGAGATATATGAGATCACTTAGGGAGTGAATGTAGAAAGAAGAGAAGAGGTCTGAGGACAGAGCTCAGGAGCACCTCGATTCAAAGTTAGAGAGATAAGAAGAAACCAGCAAAAGAGACTGGGCAGGAGCAACTGGTGAAACAGCAGTAGAAACAAGAGAATGGGTGCCAGAAGCCAAGTGAAGAAAATGCTTCTAAAAGGAGAGTTATTAGCAGAGTCAAACACACAGAGAAGCTGGGAACTGACCATTGGATTTGGCAAGATGAAGGTCATTTGTCATCTTGTGCTGTTTGGGAGTGGTGGGATAAAGGCCTGACTGGAGTAGGTTCAAGACGGTGTAGATAGATTTCTACGAGTGCAGACAAACATTTATGGAGCATCTCTTGGGTGCCAGGTGCTAAAGACACAAAGAGAATAAGATGTGGTCCTTGCCTTCGAGGGACTGTTTAGAGTTTGGAAAATAGAGTTTATAATCCCAGCACAATTAGTACCATGTAGAGAAATACTTGTGGTGCTGGGGGAGAATTTAGGAGGAACTCATAACCTGGACTATGCCATGTCAAGGAAGGCTTCCCAGAAGTGGTACCTGACTAAATCCAAAGGACAGGTAGGAATTAACTAAGCAAAGGAGGCAAAGAAGTGGCAGAGGAAGTGACACATGCACAGCACGAAGACATAGAACAGGCACATTTGATGTTTGAAAAGATAATTGTCACATTCACCAAGATGGAGGACTCAGGAAAAGAAACAGATTAAAGGGTGAAGGGTAAAAAGAGGAGAAAGGAGACTTCAGCCTTAGACAAGGATGGGTTTAAGATGCCTATAGGACACCCAGGTGGAATTCCAGGTAAGGAGAGAGATCTACCTAGAGTTATAGGGTATGAGTCCTCAATAGGCAACTGGTGGGTAACAGGGAATAGGTAAGTGAGCAAAGAGGACCTAAGATGGAACCTTGAGGGACCCCAGCATGTGGGGCAGGGGGAAGGGGGAACAGAGGAAGAGAAACCCGTAAAGATTGAGGAGTGGCCAAAGAAATGGGAAGAAATCTAGAAAAAAGGGGGGTTCTCACAGTAACCATGGAAGGAAGGAATTTTTAGAAGGGGGGTTGGTCAGTAGTGTCAAATGCTATAGATACCAAATAAAATAAAGCAGAAGTGTCCATTGCATTTGCCAGTTGAGGTAAAAGGATGTGAACAGGTAATTAAAGAAGAAACAATACACATACGAAAAAATGCTTAGTCTCGTTAATAATAAAAAAATGTAAAGTAACCATGAGATATAAGTTGTAGTCTAAACAGTTGGCAGATTTTTTTATTAGCTAATATTCAGTATGTGAGGAAATACGAACTCTCATACACTGGTAGTGATAGTATAGTAACTATACTACACTGTTGTGGATCTTGCTTTTAAACACATAATGTGCTTTTTGATATCTTCCCATGTAAATATATATATATTTATAATATCTAAAAAATATATGTAGTATATATATATAAGGGGGAAAAAGTTGAGAGTGTATGCACCAAACTGATGGCAGTGGGTATCTTGATGGGAAGGGGTAGGGAAGTCAAGTAGGGAAAATTAGAGTATATATTCAAGGCATGCATACATTCCTATATTGATTGTGACTTTTCTTCCCCCCAGTAAGTTTTGTAATTACTTTTTTTTTTTTTTAAGACTGAGAGTGATTGGAGGGGGGCGGGGGTAAAGGGCAGAGGGAGAGGAAGAGAGAGAATCTCAAGCAGGCTCCGTGCCCAGCGCAAGGCCTGACTCTGGGCTCAGTCCCACAACCCTGAGATCATGACCTGAGCCGAAATCAAGAGTCAGACGCTTAACGGAATGAGCTACCCAGCCACCCCTTTTATTACTTTTGTAATTGAGAAAATAGTAAGTTAAAAATAAGATAATGAAATGAAAATGTTAAAGAGGTAATGGGTGATCTTGACTAGAGCTACTTCAGAAATGTGCGGGTGGTAGAGCGAGCAAGTGGAAACAGCAAATACAGACAGTGCTTGAAAAGACCCTTAACTATAAAATGCAAGAGACAGCAATAGCTAGAGGAACATACGAAGTTGAGGGAGTGTTACTTTTTTTTTAGCAAACTTTTTATTTTGAAATAATTTCGGATTTACAGTAGAGTTCTTAAGATAGTACAGTTCCATGTATCTCCACCTACCTCCCCCTAATGTTAACATCTTGCAATAACTCTCAAACATTTATCAAAACTAAGAAATTAACTGGTGCAATGCTGTTAACTAAACTATAGAATTTATTTATTTATTCAGATCCAGCATTTTTCCACTAATGACAGAGGGTTGCTTTTAAGATCCACCAGAAGCCTGAATTGTCTCCTGAAGAACAGGGAGAAATATCCATATAAATTTATAGAAATGACTGACCAGGGGGCGCCTGGTGGCTCACTTTAAGTGACTGCCTTGGGCTCAGGTCATGATCCCAGGGTCCTGGGATCGAGCCCCGCATCGGGCTCCCTGCTCCTCGGGGAGCCTGCTTCTCCCTCTCCCTCTGCCCGCTGTTCCCCCTGCTTGTGCTCTCTCTCTCTCTCTCTCTCTCTCTGTCAAATAAATAAATAAAATCTTAAAAAAAAAAAAAGTGACCAGATGAAATACTACATTGTGCCATGGAAAGCAAGTTAGAGAAACATTCAGAAGCAAGTGGGTACATTTATTCCTTCAGTAAATAGTGGGATCAGGTTACATGATAGCCCAGTTTTCCAGAAATTTACTTTTCCCTTTTTCTTCCTCTTCCACTTATATCTAGGAAACAGAAACACAGACCATTAATACTGCCATCAGTTATATTTTCATGTTCCTTTCAAGCATGCAATATGCCACTTCTTGAAATCTGTACAATTTGGGCACTCATCTCCATAATGATTGGCTACCACTTTTCTGAGAAGCTCTTCCCTTCCTCGGGGGCTGTACATCCCGGTAGTCCATGTTTGCAGCTGCGCTGCTGTCTCCTACCCAACATCCTCAGCCTTTAAGATGAAGATACCTCTGCCAAGATTTCAGCACTAAAGCTCATTTGACCCAGCCTTTACATTTTAATGGTGGAATAATGGAGACCCAAAGAGAGGAAAGAACTTATCCACGGTCATACATCTCAGATGGACAGTGCTGGGACACATCCCAACTCCAAGTTAAATGCTCCTGCAGAAAAGACATAGTGTTGCATTTCCAGGTTGTATCTAATCTGGATTCAGGAAGCCAGCTATGGTCCAGAGGCAAATCTGCCAAGATTCCCAGCCTTGCTGGGAAGAATGAACAGTGTGCTGGATGTCACGCTTGAGAGAGGAGGCTGTGGTCGTGTACCAACCAATGGGGCCCTTGAAAACTTGCAGCCTCCATGACTTCCCATGCCTCTTCTAGGAAAATACTTGGGAAAAAGTTAAAACCAACTAGAATTTCACCTTATTGTGTGCCCTACACCCCCACTCTGGAACAGTGGAGACTATAGAGAGAATAGAAAGAGCAGTAAGAGACTGTAACCCAAGTTCAGGATTTGAGAAATGACTGGGTACTGTGGGTGATCATCATGAGGTGTGGCTGGAGGAGTAGGGAGGACTACCCACTTAATATTAATTGTCACCACTTACTGGGTGCCTATTTATGTCAAATACTACACTACATGCTTTAATATAGGCACATCTGTTCTCCACAATAGCCGAGTATGGTTGGTTCCAGAAATTAAACTTGCCCAAGGTCACTTGTCTGGGTGGGGCTGGAGTAGACTAGTAACACATGTTCATTGTAGAAAATAGAAGTGGCTTGTAATCCCTTCTCCAATGATAACCCAGGCCATCTCAATATAATACTCTTGCCACTTTGCGGTCCCGACTGCTTTTAGCTATTGCTTTGGTTCTGTCCCTTCTTGCTTCTTTTCCTTCCCCAGAAGGACTGGAATCACTGCTTCTTCCCCATTTTTCTCTCCTTGGGTCCTAAAGCCCTGCATGCCTGGCATTGCCTGGGGATGCTGCCAGGAGTGATTGCAGGGTGTGGGGCCTTTCATGCTGTCAGGCTGTACAGCCCTTTTAGTCCCCACTTAAATACTTTTGAACATGTACCCTTAAGAACTCTTTTTAATAAAAGAGCACACTTACTCCTTGTTACAATGCCCCCTAAGGGATTTCCTCCACCCAGGCCCTTTTTGGGTCACTGCCGGTACTCCATTCCACAGATCCCTCTCTTCCTGGTCATCACAAGTAAAGTAGAAATGATCATTTTCCAGCTGCTTATAGTAACATCAGAACGTTTTAATATTCTATAGATTTTTGTGATAGGAAGATGATGTATAGTTCTATTTTTTATTCATTTGTGTTACATAATGTATACACATTTATTGTAAAAAGGAAGGAAAAAAATGTAGATGCCCATAATCCATGATCCAAAGGTAACATTAACATCCTGATGTCTTTTCTTCCAGACTACTTTTCTGTGTTTATAATTATACATTTGTATTATAAGATGGGATTATGTGGTCTTAAAATTTTTTTTTAAGATTTTATTTATTTGTCAGAGAGAGAGAGAACACAAGCAGGGGGAGTGGCAGCAGAGAGAGAAGCAGGCCCCCTGCTGAGCAGGGAACCCAATGCTGATGCGGGCCTCCATCCCAGGACTCCAGGATCATGGCCCGAGCCAAAGGCAGACGCTTCACCAGCTGAGCCACCCAGGCATCCCTGTGGTCTTAAAGTTTGCTTTTTTCCCCTCAAAAGTATCTTATGAGCATCTTTCCATGTCAATATACTTCGATCACACGATTACTGAGAAAAGTAGTGTCCAGTTACCAAGGCAAAATGCCACTTAGAGTGTCAGGGCTCCTGTTTAGGCTGGGCAAGGGCAGGGTAGGTGAAGTTGGAGACCCAGATGACTCATCCATTGTGTGGTGGGAGGTAGCATCCAGCAAAGCATGCTGCCAGCAATAAGGCGGCACCAGTGTCCGGAGCAGTTTAATTCTTCTTTTCCAGCAAGAAAACTTTTCATGCTTCTTGTATCTCTGATCCATTCATTCTTCCACCAGTGAATCGTCTTGTCAGTAAAGATTTAAACACTAAAATCAAGCAGTTGTCCTCTGTAAGTTTTTTTTTTCCAGACCTTGGTGCTATGTATTCAGAAGAGTAATAGGGTGAGAGACTTAATTCCCAATATAGCTGCTAATCCTGTCTAATTCCCGGAAGTCTTTCAGTCCTAGGTGGTTTGTCCTTTCTTTCTTAGTTGAAAGACGGGTGAGTCACAGACCACAGGAACGGAGGGCTCGAAGGTATTGGAGTTCGTGGCTTGTTGGGAGTTGGTGCTGCTCAGCTTATTTATAGGAACGCTTTCAGAGTATGGGACATTGAATTTTACTTCATCAAGCATGTTTCCTCTGTTATTGTAGAACAGTAGTGGCAGGTTCCAGGTTGTTTGCAATCATATATGTATAAATTAATTCTGTTTTGACCCAGGTGAAAATGACCTCTCTTAGATATGTAAATGTGTGTCCTTCAATCAAGAAAGTGGGTGGTAGTGTTTTCATATGAAGCCAGGATATTTTTCTACCAGAGGATCTGTGAAATAGTAAATTTTCTGATAATTGAGAATTTACACATGGACAAACGTGTGTAGAGAAGAGCAGAAGAAAAAAAGAGGATTAGGTTCTTATGTAAAAATAAAATTTGTTCATATGCATGTAGATTATGGCAGGTATGATGAGATATCATTTATGCAAATGCATGTAAAAGTCTGGTGAGTTCTCTAAATTTCTACAAATACTTTCAATCCTTGATGATACTATCCACAATTATGGTATTGTATAGTTTCAGCTATACTATGTCTTTGTCATATTTAAAAGAAAAAAAACCCCAGCAGGATTCCCCATGTAATTTTGTGGTATGTAATGATGAACTTGTATTAATGCATATTTTGCGGTGTTTAAAGTACCTAGTATTTTGCTTCCTCTTTCTTGTTTTCCTTATTAATCTTTGGATAAAAATCCCTTGTCTCCAATGTAACTATCATTAGATCTGGGCTCTCTTTTCTCCTCATTTTGTCCTTATAAGGCTATCCTGTTTTATCACTTCCTGCTTCAGCTCCTGACTTTTTCTCTTCCCCTCTCCCCTGGTGGATGCTTTCTCCATGTGGCAGGGCTGTAACTGTTCACAGCTGTCTGAAACGCCCGTGGACCAGGAGCAGCTTAGAGTTTTAACTTTCATTTTACAAAGAACAACATGTTTGAATGTTTCAACAGGCAAGTTATAACTGGCACTTACTTCTTGCTCTTCTAGAACACTGAAAATCTCCCCCAGCACTGCAGGAGGGGTATCCTGACTGTGTTAAAGAAGAAGTGGGAGAACCCAGCCCTGGGAACAGAGTCTCACACAGACTCCCTGCGAAACGGCAGCGCTGAGGTCAGACACGGAGGCAACCATCCTGCCGGTGAAGTGGCTAGAAGCTCTGCCCCTGAGGCCGAAGCTGACCAGGAAGAAAGAGTCCACCCCAGACCTAGACTCGGATCACCTTCTGAAGCCCTTACTCAGTGGCCGAATCTCCTCATTGAGGGCAGCGAGCGTCTTAAAGACCACTCGAAAGAAAGTAAAAAAATGGAAAATTGTCTAGGAGAATCCAGGCACGAAGTAGGAAAACCTGAAATCAGTGAAAACACAGAAGCCACAAACAAAATAGAGAAATACAATGTTCCGCTGAACAGGCTTAAGATGATGTTTGAGAAAGGTGAACCAACTCAAACCAAGGTAAGGACTGGGCCGGTGGCAGGCTTGAGAAAACTGATTCAAGTGACTAAACAAAGCAGTTTTTCTGATCTAGACAGTTTGAGTGGTGGCCAGTATGTCTTTTGATTCAAAATTAAGTGAATTAACAAGAAGTCTCGAATTATTTACACAGATGCTTAAGATTTTGCGGATCTGTGACCCAGTTTCACGTGAAATCAAGCATACACTGGGATTCAGGTTAATATCTAGAAATGAAGAGTTTGGTGCCGATTAGATTTTGTGTTTTTATACGCTTGCCCTTTTAATTTGTCTTCCTGTGCCTTTTGTCATTTGTAGCTTTGGGGGGTGGGATTACTGCTGAATCTCTCTCTCCTTGGACACAGCTGCAGGCTGAGTATTAAGGCCAGAGTTTAACATTAAGACTGAGGCTTAGTTGTCTCTTTGCTAGCTGACTCCTTCTCTTCTCCACTTCCTCATCTGTGCCATCCAACAAATGTTTTCTATCAGCTAAAATCCTCTCCCAGGAAAAATCAGTGAGGATAGCCAGATTAGCTGTAGCCTTCAGGAGTTTTGACTTGCAAATGCTCAGGGTTGCATTTTCCTACAACTGCTAATGAAATTTGATCCTTCGTGTGGATTGCAGACCGGGTACCCAGAGGGAATTACTTAACTAGAAAATGAGTTACATATGCTGGTGACTTATAACACAATCCAGGGGCGGCAGAACTGGTAAATTTTTCCAGTTTTCTCATACTTTCCTGCGTATCTGGCTTTGTACATGGGGATGGTTTGTTACAACAGTCATTATAATGAAATAAACAGATCTGACAGGAAGCAAAGCCATCATTTTCTCTAGATTCCATCTAGATGGGAAAGCTGAAATTTTTTAAGCTAAATATTTGGCCCAAATCCCTGCATGTGTGAAGTAATGGTATAAGACCTTCTTTCTGAGAGAAAAATTTGATAACTCGTCCTATAATCTTCAGTTATGTTTGACGTGACTTAGTTTATCTCTTTCCGTAACTTGCAGTGGCTGGAACTTTCCAGCCTAGAAAAGTTCTTGGGTGTTTAAAGGATCATCTATTTCGAGGATGTAGTAAGAATTTGTAAAGGTTTGCAAACCTAGAACCCTTTCCTGTGCATGAGTTTTAGCTCTATTTTAACACTGAAACCAGTTGGCAAAAGATGTAACCACAAAGCAGTTTTATGACTTTCCTTAAAACTCTCATCCCTCTCAATTTTTAGTCCTCTAGGCCTGCCAGCTCCCTCTTTATCCTTTATGGTCTTAATAAAAAAATTTTTTTAGGTTTTTTTTTTTTTAATTTAAATGGGAAGAAGAATTTTAAGTGGACGGGAAAAAATGTCAGAAATCCTAAATAGAGAGGAAGGGGTTTTGTTGTGACTCAAAGCACCATTGTAAGCCTCCTCCTCAGAGACCCTGTTAGGGGCGGGACGGCTGATGTCATGCCAGCACACACAATGTCGATTCAGTGCAAAAGCCTGGTGCATGTCGAAACTGGCCTAAGGTAGGAAATGACTGGGATTGCAGCAAACAAAAATGCTGATTATGTGTAAGGATCTGGTGAGAGACTTTTTTCTCATAAATGTCTGGCGAGAGATGGGTCAGAACAAGCCTATCACTTTGTGGCTGGTCAGAGTAGAGAAAGACTCCTCATATAAAGAAAGATCCTTCTAGATCTCTAATAGCACAGGGCAGGCAGCCTGATTGTTAATGGTGTAGGAAGATGGGGGGGTGGAGGAGGGGTGTCTAAGATTGACCTGGGCTTTTTTAGGTGCCCTTTAAAACTTCCTGATTAAATAGTCATTTGTCACTTAATGGACTGCTTGGTAAAACAGAACTGCCCTTGGTTTTATAGCTGTTTCTAAATAACCATCCTTTATCCATGTTAGAAACATGAATAGTTTACTTTTAAAAAGTTTTGTCTAATATTTTCAAAAAATATTAAAAGTTTTGTCTACTTTAGCTTAAGGAATAACAAAATTAGTTTGAAATTACGTTACAGTTATCGTTAACATAATTTCAGCTTTAACATGGATAATGCTTTAATCGGGAAGTTACATAATTGGATCTTTGGAAGGAAGCTCTGAGAAATATGGTAGGGACACTAGAAATCGCTTTAGGAGCAAGAGTCTACAAGAAAGAGTGTGCACTTCAGAGCTAACAAATTAGTACCTCCGTAAGACAAGCAAATATAGTAGGTACAAATTGTGTGAATCTTTGGTTCCGTAACTAAATTTTAGAGAAGTGGACTGAATCTCAACTAACTAGCTGGGCAGGGGCAGGGAGCACATAGGTAATGGAAATAATGCTCTAATGCTGTGTCCTCTTAAATCTTTTTCTCAGTTATTTACAGGAGACAAAGTTAATTGGCTTGAGTTCCACTTTTGTTAGTCTCTCTTGCTCCCTTTTGCCTGAGATGGTTCTCTTCTTGTCCACTTTTCTTCCTGATCTCTGCCCTCCTGTTTTTCTCTCTCTCCTTGTGAAATCTCACCTCTTTCCATGACTCTAAGAGGTGAACCCCCAAACTAGATTTTAATTCTCAGTTCTTAACCCAAGCTTCAGCCTCATATTTCTGGTTGCCTGCCAGATCAGACATCTCTCTTTGAATATCCCTTAGGCACTCACATTCAAGAAGGCTAAAAAAGAATCCATTGTCTTTCCAACCAAAAACCTGCTTTACCCCAGTTCCCTTCATGCATTACCATGCACCAGATCTTCTTGTCTGTAAAACTTGGAATCAGTTCTTCCTTCTGCCTGCCTCCTCTTCCCAGTCAGTCACTTACTAAGCCATCTAAATAAGCCTACCCTCAGGATGCCTGAGTGGCTCAGTATCAGTTGGGTATCTGCCTTCTGCTCAGGTCCTGGTCCCAGGGTCCTGGGATCAAGCCCCATATCGGGCTCCCCAATCAGTAGGGAGTGTTTCTCCCTCTTCCCCCACTTGTATTCTCTCTGTCTCTCAAATAAATAAATAAAATCTTTAAATAAATAAATAAATAAATAAGCAAGCCAGCCTGCCCTCTACACATCTTTCAAGTATGGGCCATTCTGTCTGGTCCCATAGTATTGCTATGACCTCCCCCATCAGCCTCTTTTCTTTCTTCCCATGCATCCTCTACACTGTTGCTATTTATTTTTCTAAATAGAGTTGTAAATTAGTTTACTCAGAAACTTTTGATGACCCAGGGCACCACCCAGGCAGTCAGTTAAGTGCATCTGACTCTTAATTTCTGTTCAGGTCCTGATCTGGGGTCATGAGATAGAGCCCCATGTAGGGCTCCATGCTCAGTGCAGAATCTGCTTAAGATTCTCTCTCCCTCTGCCCCTCCCATTCATTCTCTCTCTCTCTCTCAAATAAATAAATAAATAAATAAATAAATAAATAAATAAATAAATAAATCTTTAAGAAAATTTGATGCCTCAGAATTAATCCATATTCAATACTGGGTCTTCCACAGTCTGAGCTCAACCTACCTTTCAATCTCAGAGCCAGTCTTATACTTAAACCCTGGATCACTCCTTACTCTCTAAATCATTCATACCTATCCGCAGTTACTGTCTTCTGAAATTTTTCTCCCAAAGGTCTGTCAAAACTGTTGAGACCTTACCTCAGCTTCTCTCAGATAAATTAACCCTTCTTACTCTCCTATACCTATGGAATTTTCTTTTTACTTCTGTTTGGGCATTTATATCATGCTTCCCTTAATAATCATGTGTAAATTTGTACACTCCTGGGGCACCTGGGTAGTTCAGTCGGTTAAGCGTCCAACTCTTGCTTTTGGCTCGGGTCATGATCTCAGGGTTGTGGGATTGAGCCCCCTATTGGGCTCTGTGCTGGGGCAGGGGGTGGGGTTCTGCTTTCCACTCTGCTCTTCCTCCCCTCCCAGGCCTCCAGCCCCATTCTCTAACTCTAAAAAATAAATAAAATCTTTTTTTAAAAATTTGTATATTCCCGAAGTCTGTAATTTCTTTCAAAGTGATGTTTTTCTTTCCCAATGGTTAGTATAAGGACTTAGCTCTTAGTGCTTACTTAATAAAAGGAAGAAACAAAGCTTAGAGTTCAAATAGCTTATAAATAGTAAGAATTGATTAAATGCTCTTCCTCACTTATTCTCTACCTTTAGTGAATAGATACATTGTTCAGATCAGATAGTTTAGTTGAACATGATGGCTCTAATTCCTATGAGCAAATGAGCAGTGGGTGGATTAATATAACCTACCATCATTACTAGGAAAAAGAAACATTTCCCCCCCTGCCCCAAGTGGCATATACTGAGGTGGTCTAGCAATCCTAACTTCGTGTATATGTTGATCTGGATTTTAGGTAGCTGAGGTAACTATTCTGGATATCCTTTTATGAAAAAGATAGCTGATTAGTCATAACCAACATTCAGTTATCATCATGTTGACATTTGAATCCATAATCTTTAAAACCAGGATGTGGTTATTCAAAAAATTAAGTACCTCTTTTATGCCCTGGAATGACCAGGAGCATATAAGGAGCATGTGACAGGCTCAGTCAGTCTCACTTCTTTCTGTTTTGTTCCTAACATATTTGGTTCACACAAATCCTTGGATAGGAGAATAAAGACCGAATATTTGGGTGACATATTTCTGCCTTCATAACCTATTTCAATTATTGTTTTCTGGTGGGTCAAGATTGAACAACTTAGGTGTAATGCAAGAAAATAAGACTAGACTGTGGATATCCGTTGATACTTTGATACAGATGTAGAGTACTTTTTTTTTTTAAGATTTTATTTATTTATTTGACAGAGAGACACAGCGAGAGAGGGAACACAAGCAGGGGAGTGGGAGAGGGAGAAGCAGGCTTCCCGCCGAGCAGGGAGCCCAATGTGCGGCTCGATCATCCCAGGCGCCCCTAGAGTACTTCTTCCATGAAATGTTTCCAATTTCTAGGAGAGGAGTTTGATAGAGTAGAAGAGAGAGTACCTCCTCACCAAAAATCACTGTTTCCTAAAACACATAAGCTCACTCATTT